GAATTGAAAAAAGACTGATAATTATCATCGACATTTTTCATTGATGGTCAAATCTGGTAATTTTCTTACAATGAAATAAATTAATTGAACGATAATTCATTAAGTCTCTTTTCAAGTGACACTTCGTATAAAATTCTCCAAAAACCGTACATATAAAATTATGTCGCTTCGAAAATTTAAATTTACTTAACCCTGAGCTCGGAAATACTAATCTTACTTTTATACCTTTTTCAATTTGTTTCACTTGTTCTGGGTTAAAGCCAACCCTCCACTACCGCATCATAAAGACATTCCTAATTCCTTTGGCTGGAAGAAATTCATTGACTAAGTCAATTATGATACATCAACTTGTATTAATCGAAGAAATATGATTGTGCCCATAAAAAACTGCCAAATACATGAATTTTTCGGGTGCATTTCAATCCATTTCAAGGATATCTAAAATTTCCATAGATTTTTAAATTCGTAGAATTGAAAACAAAAAATATTACATTTCCTTCAACATTGAGCCTCGTGCTCTCAGTACTCAGAAAGTGTAGCAGATCTGATAAATAGATGAATTTTATTACTAGAATAAATGAAATTACTAAAATCTTTGGGACCTTTTTTAAATTGAAAGTAATAAACTCAAACATAAGTTTCACACTGTTCATACTTTGAGTTCAGTTGAAATCGCATAAAATGGAAGTCAGAAGTATTAACTGAACTGCTGTCCAGTGGTAGTTTAACTATTGTAAATAGATTCATTCTTGACCATTGTCTTGAAAATGAATCCATTCGTTTCATTTTTCCAAAAAAGTGGATTTTTTGCATTACATCTAGTTGATGCGAAATTTTATTCCTACATAAGTACACAATCATCAAATTTATTTGAAATTTTCTGCTTATACTTTTTAATTTGTTTAAACAATTGATGTAAGATGGAAAAAATATTTTATCAATTAGTTAATATTGTTTTTGTTCAAAATACAAGTAAAGATCATCACCATTTATTAATTAAAAAGCACTTTTGGGAGAGTTTTAAGGTGTGGGAAAAACGAAAAAATTATGAAGACTGGAATTCTAATGAATGGAATTCTAATGTAGGACTGGAATTCTAATGAATGATATTTCATATTAAGAAAAGCAACTGATAAAGAAATATAAAGTGACCTGCATACATCTATGCAGATTTACTGACTTCTACAAATTTCATTTCAAGAAATGTTCATATCGATCGGACAAATAAGATGACAGAAAAATAAAATTGTTTTATTGCCATCGTTTGTTGGAATACCTTATTTTATATTTGGAATTTAAATAAAATAATGATCAATGAAAAACTTTTTTGGACTGAAAAGAAAAAGACTAAAATAAATGAATAAATGGACAGTGATACTTAAACAACAGTAATTGCGTGAAGTTAAATTAAGAGGATGGATTATGATAATTTTCACAACTTGAGAAGCGATTATGTTATTACTATAGTAGTGTTCCAAGAAATCTCGATCAATGAAGACGGTTATTTGAAATAATCGATGCACGACAGACATAATCAAAAATAGTTTCTTAATAGAGACAAATATGAAATAATTATGAGGGTGCTGAAAATGATTTTTTCTTAAGACATAATAAAACGTTCCTGACAGTATCATAGTAGCGGTATTACAATTGTTAGAAATGAAGAAATGACTCTATTTGTCATTCACACATTTTTTTTTTCGAGAATAACAATCGATTAAACCAAATAAACAAAATGTATTTGTTTCGTCAATTTGATGTAAGTTTAGGTATTTACTAAGAACATTTCAGTGTACTATCGTTCTTCGTAACAACGCCAAACGGACAGGTCAGTATCTCTTTTTTTTTAAATACAGTTTCCTTTCTGCTAAACTCAATTTTGATTATTCAGTCCTCACAATTAATACTTAATTAAAAATGAAACTCTAAGATGACTGCGATTGTCGAATATTACTAATTGTGGAATAGAAAAGTTTGAAATCGAATTGATGTATAATTCATAATTTCATCTATGCTTGATTAAAATATAAATGTTAAATGAAGGAATAAAAACACAGCAAATATAACTTCATTGCTACGATTGCTACTGATAGAACAAACCATAACACAATAATGACCGGCTTGATCCATCGACAGCCTATGTCATCTGTTTGCTATCACGAATGGAATAATAAATTCTGACTCAGATAGCAATATCTTTCTGCTGCAAAACAGTGCAAGTATTTGCCTGTTGCAATAAATCAAATTGGGTGATGGCTTTACGCACCATTCTAAAGGTTATCTCATTGTATGGTCTGTTTCTTAAGCTCTTGGTATTATTATTTTTCTTTTTAAAAGTCACTGGTTTTATTAGCACTCTTACCTTGTTGTACATACTTCTTTTTGTTTACTTTAGATGATGTAATTTAAATAGCACTAAAAATTTGTGCTTTAAAATAATAATATTGCTTATCATTGTCAATTAAAGTAAACAAAAACGACCTTCAATCGCCAAATTTAACAGAAATCTTCCAAAAATTTTTGACTGTTGCAATTTTACTAGAAGTTACAAAAAAAGATGCATTTGATAATGTAAGAATTTTTATTATTGTTTTCGATTTTTCTTTATTCGTCCAAAGAACTTTTTAGGAGTAATGAGAAGTACATATAGTTGGTTTCTATAGTTAAAGAAGTACATATAGTTGGTTTCTATAGTTAGATTCTCTCCATCAAGAATAAATGCTTTAATTACTCATAGAAATAACCAAACAGTTAAATAAGGCATTATGTTAATCCGAAAAAGGTATGAAAAGCAAAGTAAATGTGTCAGTTAAAAGGAGGCTGAGATTGACTGAAACCAAATAAACTATTTATTTACAAAAATCAATTAATTTATTTCCTGTTTAACAAAAAATTTCGTAAATATCAATATTTGATTATTAGAAAATGAACTTCCTTAAATTGTCTGTCACCAAATGTATATTGTCCAACATTTATGGAGCGCGGAGCTGAATTAAAGTAACTCATTTTGAAAAAGAGGCAAAAAAAGTCAAATTGCAAATTACTTCATACATCCTTTTCAGTAAGCTCTACTGCATCTGAGAAAGAAAGAAATCTGATTAATTCAAACTATTTTTATATCTATTTCAGAAAGAAAGTTAACTGAACAGGGAGAATGAAATGAAGCGATGAGGATGAAGCAAGCACCAGCGAGACCTTACTGCGAGGGAGATATTGCGCGACATGAAAATACGAAATGGACCGAATGACACTGTTTGCCTTTCTGATTATATGCTTATCAGTTTATTACATCTTCCAAGCGATTGCTCAGCAGAACTGTTTGCCAAATCTATTCTTTCTTTTCACTCTCCTCATCCTATTACCTCCTCATCTTCCCTGCATTTCATACTCACTGGTTTTTAATCGAGGTCTAGAACTCCTTGTTCCTGATTCTTGCAAAAGTTTTAATTTCCATTTCTTTTCAGTAATTTAATAGGGATAAGATAAAGGGTAACAAGAGAGAACGTCTACTATTGATAAATGATTATATAAGACTAAACAACTTAGTACATTTCATTAAGATAATATTTCACGTGGTTTTACAGGTAGATCAATTCTTGACCTCGTCTCAGTCCTCTTCGAAATTAACATTTTTTTTTCATGAGTTTGAGAACAGTCTGTTTATTTGCATATATAAACTCTCAGTTCTATTTTTAATTTGTAAGTCAAACAGATTTGAGATATCCGGAAATGATAAAAATGGTCTTGTTATTATTACAGAAACATTACGAACGACAATAAAATTATTATGAAACTTATGTAAACCAACTGAGCTGGAACTTTGGTAATTTAGTTGGCAACTTATCTTCACTGAGAGATTTTGTAGTACAACGTGATGAGAAATAGTCAGTAGAATGAAGTCAAAAAATTAATGCATTCTAGGAGATAAAAAGTGAGCTAAATTGTATTCAAAAAAAAAAATCTAAAAAATTATAGTTTCTTAATAATTCATTAATTGAAAGTCGTGAGGTTTTTAAGAGGAAAGTCGCCATGATCAGGAAGTAAAACTAATAGTTGGATTAAAGAAAATGATTTAGAAACAAGTACTGTGAACGTTTTTCAGAAGGCCGATGTACGGATATCATTTCCGCAATCGCATTTCACATTCTATGCCGTGCAGTACCTGCGATGAATTACAATCAACCATAATAGTTATTTAACAAACTGTGAAAAGAGGGATGATTATAATCAACAAGCACTAAATGAAGAGATTTTTCTAGTTCTTTCCTATGGTTGCTTTGATACAATGATGTATGTTTCTTTTTATACAAAGTGACATTTAAGATACTTCGAAGAGACTCAGCGCTGGAAAGTGAAACTTGTGTAGGTTAAGCACATACCTTATCAAGTTGGGAAATCTTGAATTTCATAGCATGATAGCCTTTATACTTAAAAAAATGATATCTCAATACATGTCTTGAAAATTTTTCTGTGCTTTTTACACTGATATCTCTACCGTTGAGTTCATACTACATCTAATCGAATGTTCTGCTGGCAAAATTAAATCGGCGTAACGAATATACAAGGGTGAAAATCGAGAATTGGAATTGGAGGGTTAGGATTTTGTGCTTTGCTGAGCAAAAAAAAAATTTCAGGTTCACATTAAGCGAAGAATGCGCTAAACAAATTAGAAGCCTAAAATTATTTATAAGAGTTGCCTATTGTGTTCAAAATTCCATGCTATTATGTGCACTACCTTTAACAAACAATCTAACCATCGTGGTTAGACTGCAATCACCATATTGACAATTCTATTTTTTCCTTTTAATTCATTTCCAGGCTTATACAGGAAAAAAGAAAAAAATTGGCCGAAAATTCACAAAATAATTTTGATGCTATTAAATGAATTCTTAATTTGTTTCCCGCTAAAAAATAAATGTAGAAAAACGAATACTTCACTTCATTGTTAATCAAATTGTAGACTGAGTGTGGCGAAAACAAAATTCCTTTGATGGGATAGAATGAAATTTACAGCTAACGTGTCAGAGCGTAATTTCTTACTCAGGATAGAACCAAGAGATAAAGTAGTCCGCTCCTTTTTTTTCAAATGATTATTTATAGCTGGAAAATTTCTGCGGTGACAGAAAAATGGCAAAAATCAAGTTGATACTCTTCTTAATCACTGAATTTTAGTTGACATTTATCGGTGATGTTACGGGCGAAATACATGCTACAATAAAATTAACAAATAAAAGTGATTCACGACAAGCATTCAAAGTAAAATGTACAAGGAATGATTTATTTCGTATAAGGCCAGCCATAGGAATCCTCGATTATGGAGAAACCATTTGCATTGATATTACTTACAAGTTCAGCACCTTCCTGTTTTCAAGTTCTATCATTCTCATTCCATCAAATGAGAGATTCTAGGAAAGAAACTGGTAGAGAAAACATTTTTTGTCGTTGCCTGACAGGCGCAATTTTTCATACTTTACTTGTAAGAAAAGACTGTGCAAATCACGTCCAATTGAGCATCTGTATCACACTATCTTTATGTTTGAGATCGAAGCTGTTTTTTAGGTTAAGATCTTTTGGAATACTTTAAATGCTTTTAAATATTTGAAGATATCAAAAAGTAATGGAAGCATATTTTTCTGTATAATAAATCTGAAAATCAGTGAAGCCAAATTGAAGTAAAGTTTAATAACGAATCTTTGGAGATATATTAACAATCAAGCACCGGAATCTAACAGACATCACTTTGGTGTCTATCATATACCAGCTCCAGAAGGAGCAACGTGTGCCGGCGCCTGGGCTGAACATTATGGTCCTCCACAAGGAGAACTTCGAATGAAAGTATGTGTTAAACAGTATGCTTCTGCAATTAATAAAATGCTAATTTAAAATCTGTAAATTTTCTCCTTCCATTTAAAATTTGATTTGGTGAACATGTCAGTGATCTATCTGACTGATTTAGTGTGTATCGACGATATTTAGGTTATTACGGGTAAGCCTGGACGAGATCAGGCAAATAATTTCAAGTGGAACCTTACAATATCGCTGATCAGATTTTGTGCTTGCAACGTGTCTCTTGCCCTTCCCGCACATATGCTGGGGACGATAGGTTAAGGTGCATCGAAGATCTGCTTCTTAACCTATCGTCATATATGTGTCAGGGCTCTGACGACTAATTTACATTTGCTTTAATCTCATTCTAATTGAGGTGCTTAAGGAGCGTACATGTTTAATATAATAAGCGAATGTTCTACTGAAGGCATGAGATATCCATTATTGCTTCAGGTTTTTTTCCAAAAAGGAAAAGAACGATCACCACCTGCAAATAATGACGAGAACAAAAATGCCGAAAATTCAAATTCAAAAAAAAAAGAATAAATCAAACATGATAGCTCTAATTCACAGTATACTGATTAAACAAAACTGAGTAATATAATAAAATTAAAATAAATTATTCCAGATCATATCAGTTGCATTTATCAACCATTCAAATTGTCCCTTCTTTTTGGATCAGTTCTTTCAGAATATTCCCTGTACAATTCCTTCGATTCCTACTTGCTTCTTGCTTTTTCTTAATTTGAGATATAAAAAACAAAAAACAAAATCATATAATCTTACTGGATTCTTACTCAAAAATATGGATTATAAGTATACTATTAGTATTTTAACATAAAAATCAAATGTAGCGGCTGAAATTGTCAACAAAATGATGATTTTGGGATACGGAATGTAACACAATGAAGTATTTTATTCTGGGTTAGTGAGACAGACGAGATTTTATTTCCACCATTCTGATTAGCTCAAAGTGATCATATCAACTTTAAATCAGACTATCCATGTATGATATCTTATTTGTGTCTTATGATAGTCTATGTTATTTGCTAATAATTATTTAAATCATTCATGGAGTTCCTTCTAGCTTCTCAATCAATTAGCACGCATTTCTCGTCCAATTGCAGCAGCAGTCATATGGATTTATTTTCGCTGTTAGCTGCTGCAGTCGTCAAGGCGGCGCAGTTGTTGATGGCTGGCGTATTGGTATTGATTAGTGGGAGGTTTTCCTCACTGGTATTATTGTGTCCAAGTCCATTTAAATAATTTTGATCCTGAGTTTATGGACCAGAATATCCTGGAAATATGTCACAAATGAATGAAGAAGCTTTGAAAGAGGAGGATTGGCGTTACAAATATCGTTCAGCGTTCACCTATGCTCCGTATAATGATCTCGATAAAATGGGATATGAAGCTCCAAAACGTTATTCAACTCAGGTTTGTTCGTATGATTATTTAGTTTTGTTCGTTCGATATTACAGGTTTACTTCAAAGTAAGGTTGGAACTTTATCGAGATCACTATATGTTAAGTTTGTGAATTGTTTGATAATTTGGAAGGTATAGTATTCCGATTTCTGTAATGATTAAACCCCAAGAAGTGTGCACTATTAACAGGACAGTCTCAAGGAAAGTTCTCAGAAATATATAGATGTAGCTAAATGATTTGTTTCTATTGCTATTTATAGATCGGCCCACGATGCTGTCGATATTCCTACTCCGTTACTGAGACAAAAGCCGTGGAAGGAGCACCACTTACTATACATATCGCTGCCGTGGAAAGTATTTTTATTGTATTGGCATTTCTGCTATTTCTGATAACGCTTCCTTTCTCCCTTATTTTTTCCCTGAAGGTTGTTTCAACATATCCTTCATGACAATATATATGACAGTCTCTTTCGAATACCTATATTTAAATCGTTTGTGACTTGTTTGAATTCATAACTTCAAAATTTCCAATTTTTAACTGAAGCTAGTTCGACTCGTGTAGTTTTGGTTTATAATAGCCAGATCCAATGAGATATATGGTATTTACTGTTCAGTTAAACATCGGATATGTTTTGGTTTCTCAAAGAACTACTAATAATGTCGAAATGATAGTAAATTTTACTTTTTAATTGACTGAATTTCAGTTTGTGGGTGATTTTGAACGTCTTGTTGTACTTCGGCTTGGTCGGGCACAAAAAACACGTGGACCGGGTGCAACTGTAGTGCTACCGTGTATAGATACGTACACAAAAGTGGATCTTCGTGTGAATGCATTTAATGTACCACCCATGCAAATAATAACTTTTGATCGGGGTCTAGTGGAGCTTGGAGCTACTGTTTTCTCGCAGGTAAAATTTAATCATTTGCTTACTTTGAGTCACTTTCTCTTCAAGAGGGAAGCAATGGAGACTGGAAAAGTTATACCAAAATCAATCGCCAACAGACTAGTCAAAGAGTGAATCATGCACAATGATTTCGTGACTAGCATTTTGAGCCTTTTTCTAATGGCTAGTGTACAGTTTCATTTCGTCCAGTGTGCAGTTGCAGCGTCTCTTCGATATGATTCTTTTGATCCCTGAAATTATATTATCTTCGAGGATTTTTCCTCAGTAATTCCCTGCTGTATCACTTTTGTACTCAGGTCAGAAAGTATAGAAGAAAACAGATGAAATCTTCGTTTTTGCTTTTTTTGTTTAGGTGAAAGACGCATTGGCAGCGGTTTGTGCAGTACAAGAACGAAATCGATCAACCCGTGTCTTATCTGTTGCAACGCTGCGTCGTTTGGTTTGCAAACGACGAGTTAGTGATGTTACCTCGAGTTTAGGTCGTAGACAGTTATGCGAAAACCTTCAGGTCCTTAAAGATTCAAAAATATTCTCAAGTACTCAGTCATAGTGTACGATTAGTACGATTCAGAGAAATAAGTTTTCAAGGCCAAACTAAACTTTCACGGGCAAAGTCTTTAATCACTTTATGACATCCTACGTATAATTTTTCACTCTACATTCGTAATTAGATTGAAGAAAACGAAACTATTTTTTATAAAAGTCATGAGATAAACTATTCACAAATTTTAGTAGTGCCTTTTAAAATAACTTAGCAATTCAGTCGGTCGTTTCCATACGGTAATTTATACAATTTTATACAGGTTGAACTTGGCGTGCTCACAACTGCATGGGGTGTTGAAATCACCAAAGTAGAATTATCGGAAGTGAAGGTGATTAAAGAAGGCGAAAACATGGCTTTAGCTACTTTCAATAAGGTGGATTGGTCATGTATTAGCATTATAATTTTCAATAGCTACAATCACGATTTTACAAGTCCTATTAAATCCCCGGAATATGTGAGGAAAATCGCCTTTCCGACTACAAAAATGTAAAGTGGGAATCAAGCTTTTATGATGCGACCAGTTACCTCGTACAATAAACTAAAACTCTGAATTTTGGCGATCATGCCAATGATTACAAGGTCTACGCAAAACAAGTAACAGATAGTAGCTCCTCATCGAACCATTCAATTTCAGGTGTTAAAGTCAGAAATAGGTTCTCGAATCATTGAAACGATAAAGGGCGTAGTACAGGAATTTGTCGTACAACAACAGCAAAAACAACAATCAGGTCACCAACAGCAAATCGAAAACCATACAAAAAGCGATATAACAGATTTATCTGGAGAATTAAGCGAAAAGAACGAATTAAGATGCGTTTTAAATAATTCCTTGAAAAATCTGGATATCGACCGTTTGCTATGTTCTCTGACAATGGTTATCGATAAGCAGTTAGTCACCTCTGTAGGATATGTCTTCCAAGTGAACTGTATTGGATTTGGTGACTTTTATGTAGATTTAAAAAACGGTTCTGGGAATTGTTGCAAAGGTACCAGTCCGACAGCTGATGTTACTCTCGGATTGAGCCGTGAACTGCTGCTTAAACTTTTAAAGAAAGAAGTAACTCCGATGCAAGCTTATTTGGATGGTTCCTTACAAATAGTTGGTTCAGTGAAAGCAGCCATTAGACTAACCTTACTATCGGATCGTTTTAACTGTTTGCTATAATCACAATGAAAAATTGGCTATTCGGCACGTTGATTACATATTTCGGCCTAAAGAAAAGAATAATGATTTTTATTTATTTTTAAATCTAAAATATTACTATCGTAAACGTCCCCAATTTTGAGATTTTTCTAACCGCTCAACTCTTACCGTACTTAACACCTTGAGACCTCTTTTTCTATACTCCGAGCAATCAGCTAATTATTTTGAAAACTCAATGTATGAAGTAAATCTGAGAACTAAGTTGAATTCTGATTTAAATCTTCTCTAAACATATCTCATCATCTACTTCGTATGAAGGCTATGACATCACTGTTTCTCTTCGTTCATGTAAATAATTAAACGTAGTTCTTGAAGTGGATTGAGTCTAACTGAAATTATTACATGACAATAAATATTTTGTGAAACGCAGTCATCAACATTAAGCAAGCGTCAATATTCCGTGTTATGCTATCCAATAACTGGAATGCGATCACGCATTAAGACTGTCTCAGGATCTTTTATTCTAAGCCACATCCTTTCCTTAAATATCACAGTGACTGTGATATTTTTAAAAAATCAATAGGTTTGAAAAGTTGCTAAACCTACCCAAATTCTAAGTGCGTAACTTTGAGGCACTGCATATACCTCATCTGAAGCATACATATTATATATGGTGAGGTCTAAGAACGATTTTTTACGTAAACCTCAATTTTAAACTGTATACTTCCGTGTTTTCTTATTCATTTATTTCATTCCGTGATGAACTTGATTCCTTATTAGATAGTTAATCGTTAAGTGGCCTATGAATGCACAAGTTTTGGTGAGTTTATCAATCCAAAGATTATTGATCGATTTCGAAATGACATTTCTTATCTATAGTTCCTTATCGATGTCTTACCTATAACTAACATGTTAACTTTCTCCGAAATTTATCGTATTATTAGGTCTAACTGCTCAACGTTAGGGTTTTGTTTTCAAAATTCTTTATAAAAGATATGTTAAATTTCGTCGCTCGAAATAACCTCGTCCGCTTATCTTGGAAATTTTAATTTTCCTTGACGGTGAAATTTAGCAATACGCCTACGCGTTGCATTTCTCAACGCCCACACACGCTCATACAAACGTGTATGCACACAAACACACACACACAGACCTTCGACGTCAGGAGACGAATAGTCATGACAGTAATGAGCCTGATAGTTTCATAGAGGGTAATTTGTGTCACTAGTGACGTGGGACTTGGTCGAGTGCTTGGATATTGTGGCATTGTGTTTGAAGAAGTTATGTCAACGGGTTGGGGAGGTGGCTGTTGTTGCATGATTGGATGGCAGTGATGGATGGCGTGTCACCGTTTGGTGCTTGGACGGGAAAGTTTTTTTGTGTTTTTGATAAGGCTAAATTGTGAACAACCTGGTTTACTTGATACTTTTGAATTGCTACTGTTGTGGAATTTTTGTAGCGCATTCACTTACGTCGTGTGGAATAGTGTAATGGCGTTGTCTACAGAGGATGTAATGTGATGTGTGACATCTTAGAACTTTAGTCATTAACAGTTTTACTTTTACATGAAAATGAAGTGGATTTTCGGTTATGAAAAATACTATCTTTCCATTGAATGGCGGTTAACAATGCGGGATATAATAGTCGCCTTTTCTCGTCCTTGCGATTCATTTATTTTGGCAGTGCTTCAGGGGATACATATAGGAATTTATGAGGGCATTGGAGGAGGTTTGTAAGAAGTGAAAGGAGCAAATCCAGTAGAAATATCTTCCTGTTATGCTCCCATCGAAGAACATTGTGCAAGTTAGTTGTTACACATGAGTGTTTAATGAGGCTGTTACCCACTTACTGATAACAGTTATATTTATATTGGTGGCCGTTCTGTTGTGTACCCAGCTCCTTTGTAAGATTTTCCGAAGTCGTGAAATATGCAGTATGGCTTTGAACCTTAGACTACATCGTTCTTCTTCAAACGATGTATTTTTGAATTAGAGTCTGCTATTTCTATTGCAGTTATCGAAATGTTAGAAAGTATATCTCTTGTTGCATGCTTTGTACTCCATGCTATGCTATATTTGTAGGAGACTCTCATTCAGGAACAAAACAGTTTTTTCCAGAGAAATTGATAAGAGGTTTCTAAATTTAAGGCACTATACAGTCGGAAACACGAAGTCTTTTAGAGGTGTTCATAGTGATTGGTTTATTAAATAGAGCGCTCAGCTCTTCATTGTTTCTCAAGATGTCAAGGAATTTCTAAAGTTGTTGCAGAAAGTATCTAACAGGAAAAAAAGTAGTTTACAATGGGGCTAACGATATCGGGCCTCTTTGGGCGCCTCTTTGGCAAGAAGCAGGTGCGAATTTTGATGGTTGGTTTGGATGCTGCTGGGAAAACCACCATTCTGTACAAATTGAAATTGGGCGAAATTGTTACAACTATTCCAACTATTGGTGTGTTTCTATTCGTTTAATGTAGCTTAGTGATATTTTGAGGGTTCATGGTATTTTATATATATCTGGATGTAAACTAAGTATTGCTTCATGAAAAACCTGGATGAGGTGAGCCGATTTATCTTGTTTTTGATTTCATATGTTAGAAAAAATGGAGCATAAGAGAGATAAGCAAATTGATTTGCAGGGTTTAATGTTGAAACGGTGGAATATAAGAACATTTCCTTCACTGTTTGGGATGTTGGTGGTCAGGATAAGATCCGCCCTCTTTGGAGACATTATTTTCAAAATACCCAGGTAAGTCTTATTACAGCAGATTTTTCTTCGTTCCTGTATACTTTTTGATTGGTTTTGAAGATCTAAAGCAACTGAGCGGAGGGTTGAATTGGAGTAATAGTAGATAATATTCAATTAGGGAAGAACTTGGGTACTGTTTTTGGCCAGGGTTTCTGTAAACATGACATCAATGAACTCGGAATTTTAAAAAGTCGAAAAAACTGATTTCTCTGGGAAATGCAAGGACAAGTTTGTGTAAGATGCAATCATAAGTGTTGGAAATGACTATTCCCGGAGTAACCTATGCATATTGATATGTACCTATAAAGTGCTTTACAAGTGCACATATGTCTGACTTTGTGACTTTTAAATTCTATTAAATTTAAAATTTGGTTAATGAAGTTCTTTTATATGATTTTTTTCTAATTAAATAACGCTGTCAAGAGTATCTCATGAACAGTAGGTCACCCATCTTACTTGTCAGCTTCTTCTGCTTTTTGTTCCTCAATGATCAATACTTCTATCATCAAGCTGTATTAATCTGAATTCTGATTGCACAAGCAATTATTAACAATGCAACTTTTTTTCTACTGCTTTTTTTTACAGGGCTTGATCTTTGTTGTCGATAGCAACGACAGGGAACGTATCGAAGAAAGCCGAGCAGAACTGCACAAAATGCTTTCCGAGGTCCTCACATGCTATTTTTCTTAGAGAATAGTGAAGGTGCATTTTGTTGCAAGGAGTGGTTCGGCACTTGTTTTGTTGCAGGTCCCTAACCTGTTAACGAAGCACACTGCTTGACTATTACGACTACTTTTGCCACTAAATAAACTTTGATCGAACCGGAATTTCAGTTTGAAGAAATTTTCCTTTCTTTATTTTGCTATAAAAAATTCATAGCATTTCGCTTCAATTTGTTATTTTTTTCGAAGTATGGGAGATTGGTCATCACTACTAGTTTCTTTTAGGATGAACTTCGAGATGCTACTTTACTTGTGTTTGCAAATAAGCAAGATCTGCCAAATGCGATGAGCGCGGCCGAATTGACTGATAAGCTTGGTCTTCATAACCTACGATCACGACAGGTTAAGTTTTCAGTGACTTTTGTCAGCAACTTGTAATAGTTAGTTTTCTCTAACTATTGAAGGTTGCTTTTTTGATTTACAAAATACTTTTTGACAGTGTTATAAATGTAGGGCATAAACCAATGAGATGAGTTCTTCAATTTAAAAATTAGTGTTGCCTGTATCAAAAACGGTCTTTAAAAAACCATAATGCATAGTTTTCGGTACTATGATAAGTTTAAGGAAGTCATTATTGCATAGTGTGTGGCATTAGAAATATTTCGTTGTCATATTGATAGTGAAGTATCCTGAATATTTTGCAGTGTATCACTTATCATTTATGACATGAGCATTTATAAGTGATATATTACTTATGAGCTACATAATTTTCCGTTTGCAGTGGTATATCCAAGCAACTTGTGCAACGCAAGGACATGGACTATATGAAGGTCTGGATTGGCTTTCGAACCAGCTTTCAAAAAGCTAAATCCGTTGCCTTCTCTCAATACATGCAGTGCTTTTTTCGTGTTACTAACGCGTTATTTTCAATTATTTATTATGTTTATTATGATTACTTTCATCACTTCAGATTATTTGCATTCATGGCTGATGGAATAAATGGCGGATGTGGTATTTTTCTATTGTTTTTCCTACAATGAAAATCGTGTTTTCACCTTTTTTATGTGTTTCATCATCATTTGTTAAATACAAGTTGGCATGCACAATATGCGCTTTCATAAAGTGCCCCTAATATTTTTGAATATTAGCAAAACTTGTGTTCCCTTTCTTCACTTACTATCTTTCTTCTCTTTCGTAGAAAATAAGAAATATTTCAGGAAAATCTCATGGAAAATTCTTCACGTTATAGTAGTGAGGGTTATCGCAGCATTACAGTTTTTGTAAATTTCAATAGATTAAACTATTGCAGGCAGTATTTTCTTCATACTCTGTTGATTTTTGTTGGTGCTTTCCTATAGCTATTTTGATTTAAATAAATTGCTAGTCCTACTTCTCCCTTGGTCCTGAATAAATTTGTTATTGCATTCGTAATGCTATCCGGGGCATCATTGCATTTCAAACAGTTGTGGAATCTTTGAAACAGAAATTTCTCCCAAATATTTGTTGACCATTTTCATTCTGGAACGAGGTCAGTTTTTATGAGATGAGCAACGTTTCAGGGCAATTATTAGGATGAGTGGATGAGGGCTTTTCGAACCAATATTTGTTAACGAAATGAACTTCTAAATGCTCGCAAAAATTATAATTTTGTCGAAAACATCTTTAAGAGAAAAGATTTTTAAATAAGACTTATGGAGACGCCTTCCAAGTTTAGAAACGTGTTTGTGTGTCCATTTGTTCCATCAGGCGGCAACATTGTATTTCTGGAGCTGCTTGTGAGAATGGAAGATCTGTAATAAAGACAATTATTTTTGTGATTTCATTGGTGTGATTGGCGAGTGGTAGTACGCAGTACTGATTTTTCAGTTGGACATGCGGTCGAGGAGCGTTTAACTATGACATTACTTCTGATATGATTAAGGAGTACAGAAATCAAGGACTGACATGAACTCGTGTAGTGTGTTGTTATGATTATCAAGCAAGTGTCGTCATATTAGCTCAAGTTATGTCGCAAATGTTTCCAGTGGGAGTTTTTTCGTCTCCTTAAATATAACAAATGATTTGTATTCGGGTATAACTTTTAGAACTAGGATCATCCACGGTAATTGCAAAATATAAATCATACAAGTCTCTCTGATTTAAATTACTCCGGTAATTTTTAAGCACTGCCATTAGCATGCAGAAAAAGAATTCTTCCAAACAGGATCTCGTAACAATGTTTTAAGCTGTGAAGTGATGTTCAGCATCTGAGGCTATATCCTCCATTAAACAATAATGAACTCGTAAATCAGTTGTATAAATAAATTAGGAAACAATTCGTAAATCATTATAGATTCAAAAGAAAAAGTAGTTATCAACACTATAACAAAACTGATTCAATTTTATCGCTGGGGAAAGAAGTAATTTTTTTATATTTTAATACTCGGAATGGCCGATATATTGACAGTTATAATTGTGATATAGGAAATGTTATAGGGTAATGGTATTGTAAGTTACTAAGACAAGAAATAGGTCTATTACCAATTTGTATGAATGCAACTAGATACATGAGTATAAAGTTCAAAATAAAGATTAATAAATATCGCCATCTTGTAAATTGAGTGAATTAATTTATTTGTGCATATTTGAAATGTTCCACCGAAGTTCGGATCTACCTACCCATTTTGTCGTGCAGCTGTGTGTTAACAGCTTGTATATTAACAAAACAAGAGGGAATTCTCAGCAGCTCTAAACGTACCAAATAGGTCCTATTCAGCGAAGCGATCCAAATTGCCTATCTTACCTTCAAATCAATTAATACGATAGTATAAAATTTGATATGAAATTATTTCCTTTTTGCTTGAATAATAGAACATTGGCCCAAGAACAAGGATTGAACCTATTATAATGTAATTCAAGATAAAGGGCAATATCGAAAATGTATGAATTCCTTTCTTATTGTTAGTGTTCTCCGTATACTAAAAGATCGCACTGCAAACATTGATGCTTCTGAAAATTTTTTAATTTATCTCTTTTTGGTAATTTAAAATTATTGATTTGTCAATTCGCTCCTCATTTATCTACCTCAACTATTTGATCTCGAAGATTTCAGCCTTCAATATAAAAAGCTTGAGTGCCCAGAGGGAGAGAGATATCTTGAATATGGCAATTTTCCCCAAGAAGCAATAATGAGAAAAGTTCGTTATAGCCGCACTGCAACGAGCTTTTATTTTCATTTCAAAGTTTTGCTTAAAAATATATACTTTATACAAATGAGATGTACCAGATGATGATAAGATTTTGCATAATAATCATTCCGCCATGCAAAACTTTGTCACATTACCTAGGATGTCTCATTAGCTTTAAGCAGATACTTAAAGCAAATGAGAGCAGATACCTGGAGTGCGAAAGACAGACTTAAAATAATATGCTTTATCAAACTGTGCATGCTTTCCTTATTCTTGGAAGCATTGCGAGTTAGTCTCAGCAGATAAATCAAATTCAAATGTTTTATACCTGATCAGTTGATACGAAAGTGAACATCACTTAGTAAACTCCATACTCCATAACCTTGCTGTTTTTTTGATTAGACAAAGCATTTAGTGACATGTGAACAGCAAAGCAAAAATACAAAGACGTTGTTAAGCTTTGCTCGAAGGTGTTTGTATTTTTTAGCAAATTTCAGCTTAATTTATCATTTTGTGTTTTATACCTGATCAGTTGGCAAATCCGAATCTAATTCATGCTCAATAATTTATATAAATATCTTTAGAAAAAAAAACCTACTAAACAATAGTAAAGGCCAAGAACTTTACACAAACGCTTATTTCTCCAGCTAACGAAACAATGTTTGCTTGGCGACTATGAAGAAGAGAAAGTTAATTTGAGTTTATTAATGTCTAACAGTATTTACATAAATATTTTTATCATATGCTCTTGAACCTCTGTATTCAAACACATATAACATATTATGATTCGCCTCCATAACTTATTCTTTATTCTATCCCAGCTTGTACCAGTAACCTGCATAAAAACTAGTGACAACAATAACTGGGCTTTGTCAACCCCTAAAGCTTCATGAAGAGAGAATCATTATTTAGGCCCAGTCCAAACTTATCCCAATAGAAGGTCATTAACACATAAACCCAGACACGCAGACACAACCAAATTGTGGAAAGAGAACGGATTTTCAGTTTTATTATTTGTTGGAAAGTGAAACTTCCTCTACGAAAAATCTACTTAAGGAAGTGGAAGACAAAGATATATGCAAGCACGCTAAATTCGTCTTACCCCATCCGGATTAAAATCTAATCATAGTATCTATAAACAATGGTTGCCCCAACTGTCCACACTTCAATACTCTGTTCACTCATGCACTGCCACCAGCAAAATCGACATTCAAGCTCAAATTTGAAATAGGCCCCACCAAGCGCTAACACCACTATAATACTTGCACTGTTTCAGTTTGATACGTGCAGCCAGCACTAGCACTCACCGAAATGCCATTCAGCTCGGTAAATTCCGTATTACCGCACAACTAGCACACATCAAAGCCCTTTCATGGAACCAATATGATGTGACCAGGAGGACCAAGGCGTTTGCGTAGCGACGACGAGCTTAGAGATGATCGCTCGGTGCCCGATGTGATCGACAACAATATTTCCAACATACCGAATGTGAAAATGTCCGAGCTTTGACACAAAACATTCAACTGGGCACAATGCAGGAACGACATGTATGATGCAATCATGCGTATACGCATTTTCGAGAGCGATAAAGGTAAACTTACGGTGAATTGATAAACTGCCACACATTACCATTCTAATCTGCTTATTTGTCATTTTTTATATTTACAACAATATCACTCAAAAAGAAATAGCTTTATTTCAGACCGACTATTACGACCACAAATCCCTGAGATTATTTCTTATAAAGAGTGTTCCAGATCGAAACAAATATTTCGACTGCTTATAAAGCTAGCCCAAATCAACTGCCTTAGTTATACTGAGAAAAAAAGACAAAACGTACCAAATAATCAACTGAAGTAATAATTATAAGAACGTAATTTGTCGGAAATTCTGCACAACGAATACAACATATAATAAATATAATTCGCAATAAACGAAGGATTCGTGTTGAATCGTTAGTAACCGATTTCGACATGCAGCTGCACAAGCTTCAGCGACCAAAGTGCCCAAAACTTCTTGAGTTTCGGTTGGTGATGACTTTCAATCCGCTTAGTCCATATGTCTGGCTACTGGGTATCAGCGATTCAGTGGATATCATCCGAGTCCAACGAAGGTTATATTTCAGCATTAGGTACATAAACGAGATGAATCTTATTCTGACAAAGATCCATCATCATCCATCATCATCCGCTCATTCATACTCAGAGTTATGTGCTTATGAGCGCTGAATTCCTTGCGCTCTTTCTCCCGCTGTGCATTCCACGTTTCCGCCAAACAACTCGGTGCATCCATTGCTATCGCCTTCAACACCTGAACAATTACACTTCGTTACATCATCTCAACTCAACTTAGGTGATTAGCAAATAAGAAAAAGGGGCAACTGATCAAAAACTCTAATAGCGCAGCGAAAAAAAAAAAACTCAGGTTACCGTTTTATTTCCTTTCCCACGAGTTAAAATCGCCATTCTCGTTTCCATTCCCGAGTTTGATATATCATCAGATTTAGTACTACGAGCGCTTTCATCTGAATACCACAAATAATAATTCAGCAATCTTATTCGAAACTCAAACTACAAGAACATTTTAAAATGACATGCCACAGAAATGAATCATATAATTTTACTTTAAACTGAATAATACATAATACATATATTGAATACTTATAATCTATAAAATCATACCAAATGCAACGGTTCTATGAAATTTTTGGCGTGCAGATGTCGGTACCACTATTTCCGAAACTGGTACACTTACGGCGTTTGCCCTACTCTGTAAAACTGTTATTGAAATTTCGACGAATTGCTGCAACAAATATTAAAGTGAAATGAAGCAATCGCGTCCAAAGTTTCAAACTTCAATAACAATTCAGTCCAACTGAATCAAGCGATGTTATTTTACAAATGAAGAACAACAAACAAAAGCCCTCATCGACGTCGACAAAAAAACTGGTTTGCATCATATATGTTATTATTAAATCTCGTAAATAAGTTGATCAGTATTTTTGTCTTTTCAATGACAAAATATCGCTTCAATGAATTAAACTCAATGGAATGGATTAACGTGTATTTATCAACAAACTGAAACTAATTCTCTCCTCTCTTTTTGCAAAATATAATATGAACTAAAACAAGAAAAGCAGACATCTGTGCACGAAATTAATTTTGAGATGAAATCATATAAATATTTAGTCTTCATAATTAAAGAATTTTCCCCTTAATTCCATATTTTCCGCACATGAATTAAAAATTACTTAGCTTTCCACTTTCCATCATATCACTAAGAATGACCGCTTATTAAATTCATCGGTTCTCACAATAATAAATTGAAGCCTGCTAAGGCTGCACTATCCTGAACCAAGTTATCAGTATCACTTGTTCAAACCGTTTCACTGAATGCAATCACTACCTATGGATTCGATTATTAAGCAAAAATTTGTTTCAATATCTTTCTACGTATTTTACTGTTGTTTCGAAATGCAAACCAAAGAATTTTGTAAAGGATAAAATATAATTGAGGAGAAATACTACCAAAAAATATTAAGAATGAGAGTAGAAAGAGTAATAAAGCTTACTTGCATCGTTTCTGCAATTATTTGATCAAGTTGACGCACAAACAGTTCGTCTTCGGGTAAGACAACACGATTTGTGTGTACACGAACGCTTTTATTTTCATCATAAATTGATACAACAATCTCTTTACTGCAAAAGTGCGAATATATATCTTCCCTAGGCTAAAACAAAATTTTTAACACTGATTAACTTCATATGAAAAATTTTAGTTTGGTATAATTTTCAACTAGGATAAGAGAAAGATTAAATCCGATTAATATTAAGCGTTGATAATGCCACGTTTTAATGAAAGAAGTTCACTAAGAACGTTCTTGCTCCAAATAACCTTTTCCTAAGCTTTAAATTTATGAATTTGATTCGAATTATTTAGAATCACTTTGTCTGTACAATAAGTGATAATAATTTTATTTCCATTACATAAGATAAAAAAATTATATCCGAAGTCAATAACTTGAGGTCAATAACTTCAAAATCTTCACAGGTGCCTTGTTCAATTCCAGTTAGGATATTTAGATACTAAATCACCAGAATTTTAGATTATTCAGACATTATAAGACGATGATTTTAATCGAATCCTAATGATGTAATGTATAGGAACCATATGTTTTGTGCTTTCCCATGCAGTCACTATAGTGATAACGTTTTAGTCACATTTTTTGACTACCTTATGACCATTGACACAGTATTATGCAAATATTTCTAAATCTAGCAAAATTAAATTATTTTAATTCTTAAGCAATTACTAAGAAAATATTTAATTACGCTGCCAATTTTCAGTATCTCTTTTATTGTATTCCTAATCAACCTTCTCGTGATATATGTATACACAATCACAATTATGAAGAAAAACTATCAAGATTATGGTTTTAAATTATATTTCTTGTAAATTTTGTTGAGAAATGCACCTAGCGAAGCGAAAACAAGAGATATTGATATATAGATGATTGGGAATCGATAAGTTGACCCAGACTTCCATTCTCATTTGCTAACTACCACATTCGATGAACGAAGTTGACAATTTTAATACCCAGGTTTTTGGGGTCCTACACATAATCAAGGAGATCCCTTGGCAGAGTTGAGTTCCTCAGCTTAGTACCACTTTTTTCAAATCCTAATTGTTGCAACTCAACTGACTTATAAGATATGCACTAACTGCATAACTTATTTTTTGGTTGATCAAAATGACTTGCCGTTAAATATCTTAGTTCCTTCTAGACATAAAAAAAATTTATTAAATACCGAAGATTATTCCAGTAAGTTTCCGACCAGTTAAAATTAGCGCATATTAAACAATAAGCCTAGGTCCACTTGCTACAACTTAACTATATCAAAATATCTTCATTTTGTTGCACATAGATATTATTTCACAAAGACGCTATAATAAAAGTGTTTCTGCTGAGCAATCATAAATGATGAAAATGCAGCTATGAGAGTCTAAACTCAAGAAATTCATTATCAACTTCAGCGAATGGGGCTATTGTTATATAATTCTATAAAAGAAACCACTACAACATTAAATCATGGCAAATCTGAGAAACCACGTGTAGTTTGATTTCTCGCTAAAATAATGTTCATAGATTCATTTTTATATCAAATACATCCAAGACTAGAACATTAGTGCCATACGTTTAGTGAAATCTCTGCTACAAACCTGCTATTAATTTCCTTATCTTCGTCAGCTTCAGCGGCACAATTTGTCTTCCGTGGTCCTTCTTCTTCATCCGTTACCTCTTCTGTTTGCTGAGCTACTTTTCCTTCACGCGCTGCATCTACCTAAATAAATATGTGATTGTTTTTTATATTTTTCAGCATTTGCATTTTTCCTTTAAAATTACGACTTATGAATCGAAGATTGTATAATAAGAACTTGAAAAATCGCAAGGGGATCCGCCAGCAAAGGCACTACAAATTAAGCAGAAATTCATCTCTTCCATGCAAACATTCATTAAAACCATGGAAGGGGTATCTCGAGTATTAGTCATCTTCGTAGATGCAGTCAAATTGCTATTTTATAAAGGAAATTCGATTATGTTCGCCAGGCAACATATCTGAAAACTTTATGGACCCTGTGCTTGAGTTGAGAATAGAACTTACATCATATCCATTTCTGTCATGATGCAGTCTCTGAGAGAATAAATGGAGTAAAGACTAAGCCCCTCTTGAAAACAACAGATATGGAATAAGTTGACACGAACTGCATCAGTGAAGAAAAATGACTTCAGGACCGCGAATTTCTAAGAACTATATCAACGTCATCATTAGTTGACGATGGAATAGGAATATCATTTTCTTATCGCCTGTAGATATTAACTCAAAAAATACATTCTGCTATATAAATATGGCTATTTTCGCTCTTCGAAACATTCTTATACCTCCAACATAAATTTTTGTTATACTTTAATTTTCCTTGACACATGTATATAAATTTTTAGACTCCGAAAATGACGCTTCCTATTTCTGATTCTATTTTATGACAACTAACGGAAATGTGGATCAACAGACTACGAACTATTTATAAGCATCCACAATTTTGTGATACTTTCCCATGATTGTTTTGTAAATTAAAATTGCTATTTATCAGGTCTAAAAAAATAAAAACTTTGTCGAAAAATTTCTCACTAACATTCACAGCAAACATTAATTTAAATTCTAAGCTAAATGCAGTTTGGAAGATGTATAGCGCACACGTTGCTCAAAAACGTGTATGAGTGAATTACAGAATGAAAACATCTATACTTCACGAGCAGAAAAATGTCTGCAGATAATTAAACACTCAATGATGAATTGCCCAGAGTAATTTTTAAAACAATTAGAATACCAGTTTTTTATATTGCTGCTGGATCCCATCAACAACTCTTTGTGCTTCGTCGAAAGACTTTGGAATTTTGCCGCCTTTTCGTACATAATCACTCATCTCTTCCACACGAAAACGCACCTTGACAAATTTATTTAAGAATTAGTGAATGAAATGTAACGAAGACTGAGGATTATAGGAGTAAATTGCATCAACGTACATCCTTGGGAAAAGCAATATTGCGCGCTTTGAATGCTTCTTCTTTAGCCAACAAATAACGGTAAAAATATGCTAAGAAGCAATCCAGTTTTTTCTTAGCTGAACCAGCATTAAAATACTCGCCACAGACTAGAAGTAATTCGCATACAAGACCAATTCGTGTCAAATTGTTCCAGTCATCCAATAACGGATCGAAAGCACCGAAGGTGATCAACTGATACAAAGTCTAAATAGTAAATTTTAGATCTGTATCAACCGTGAAACTTCCAGAACTTGAGTAGCCTGTCGTTTACTGACGTACAATTATACTTTTCCAGCTTAAACTTCGACAAATATGTTTCTTGCTGTGTTTTCACACCATTCAGCAATTCATCCCTACAACGCAATAAGCGCTATAGATCGAATTTCGTTCAGCTGGGATATAAAATATCATTACAGCAATGAACAAATACAGCACGGACAAATTTTTAGTACATTCTGTCTCACTGCATTGACTAAAAAGAATAAGATCGCTTTCAAGTAATACCTTAAATATAATGGGAGAGTCGCACACACTGTAATTATACAGTTGACCTAAAAATATCACTGACAGTACTGTGCTTTGATTAAGAGATGGACTATTTAGCTCTAAAGCGATGCGAATATCTTCAAGCGTTGCGTCGAGTATGCGAATACCTTAAAATTCTTGTTGAATTAACGTATAATACAGTACACAAGCCAAAATTCAAAGTGTTGACGAATGCGACTATGATAAAGAAGCGAAAATATTCGGTTAGATGAAGATTTCAAACTCAATCTTTTACTGAATTAAACTTACCAATCCAATCATGACAAGATGAAAGCGCCGCTATAAGTGAAGCAAGATATGGCACATTATTGTACCGTGGTAGAGATGGATTACTGAGGCACTCAACTGCATAATCTAAATATATATTGAATAAAAAATATATCGAATATCATGAGGCAACATGAATATGAAATATTCCATTATTCATCATTGACCTCACCTTTTAATAATCAAGTCTTCCGTCACGTGACATTTAAATCTTCTAAGCTGACTATATTGCAAGGAATGTTTTCTGGAACCAAAATAAACTAACTAGCATAAACAGGATCAGACCAGTCCAATTTCCTGAGGCACCGTATAGTTATTTCCATTCGGTAACGTGATAAATTACTTATCAAATAACGAATAAAGTCTTGAAATGGGTCGATTTCAGACTTCGGTTTTTCTTCCACTGGTGGTGGTATACAAGTGTAGAACGCATTATCTATCAGCATCTAAAATACAAATAATTTATTTGCATTCGAAACATCTTGAAATCATGTCTTCCTTTTGAATACAAGTACTATAGGCACATCACAATAAGAAAGGAATGAGAAATACACCGTCAATCTTGAAAGATGGAACACGATCCAAAATTCCCCCCAAAAACATTAGGGTTACCTGCTGCCGCGGATCATTGACACGATCGCGTTTCTTCATCATAACTCCGAGCAAGATTTTCATTTTTCCATGACTGTCTGTTGAACGATACAAAAACTGTCCCATTGCATCAACCATAGCACAGCACATATCGATGTTATGGCCACGAAAGTCAAAAAGTACCATTCGCAAACAAGAAAGGCCTTCGCCTTTCGGTATGATCCCAAATTTCACCTGAATGAAATCATATATGCTGAGAAACTGAAAGTTTATTAGTGAGGCAAGTCTTATTAGCGAAAGACTGCTAGCAATATTATCTGTTGAAGGCATTATCATCTCGCCCATGAAAATGACCCTCAAAGCATAAATCCACTGAATCTCAAAATACTAAGATTAATTATAGAGTGAATCGAAATGCATGAGCTATATACAAACCAGTTCAGAGATAAACCGAGCACATCTTATTTTCGAGTCAACACGCTGTTTTTTCTTACTCTGAACAGCTGCTCGAAACTGTTGAAGCAATGAGTGCGAAAGTTCAAGTGCCAAATCAGGCATAACTGGTTCCAATGTTGCCACCAAACGTCCATAGAACGGCAGCAAATCCAACCGATTCCGATATTGTTCCAGCATCACTAAACAATAACTGAACTTGCAGGAGTAAGGTGTATGACAGACCTCAAATGAATTACTTCAAAAATATTTCAATTGGTATAATTAGAACCCCAGCTAATTTTGTTAACGTCCACATTGTAACCACACGTTCCCAAAAAACAGAAATTCATTTAGAAATCAAAATTTTACTTTGACAGAGTTTTTTTCTGTTGTTTCTGGTGTTCAAATTCGTAACAAAGTCAAGTGCAGCCTTATCGATTAAGTCCCTATTGATTAACCACGGAAGCTGTTCCATAAATGCAATCATCATGAGCTTCAAATCTTGTCCAGATATTTTTGGTGCTTCAATACGATTCACTGCAACTGATGGATCCATTTCATTTAAATCCATTTTTGTTTCTTCATCGTCGACACCTAAAAAGCAGATTTACAATAAATTTCTCACTATAATAATTAATGACTATGGAACAATGTAAATAGAAGAGATAAATACCTACAAAGAAGAAAGAAATGCAAACAAAACCCCCTCACAAAGTTAAATGTTACAACCCCAAACCATATTGTTCTGACAATTATTTTTGTGAAATTAGTCGCTTTGTCAAATTTCTAATCCAACGATATCATAAGAATGATAAGCATTCGTATAATAGTTACTCTCATTATAAATCAGTACTGTTTCATTAGATCACAAAGATTAGAATAACATAGCGGTATAGTCTTGAACGAATCTACTTGATTTTATTATTTAACACTACAGCATAACAATTAGTTTAAGAAAATCCAGTACTTCGAATATTAATGGACAAGCCATCCGGAAACTTATTATATAATTACAGTTCCTGTAGTATAACTTAAGTTGTTTATAATCGTAAAATTTGTGGTACACATTAAAAGAACTGATAAGGATGAATAAAACCGACATTAAATGGATCGCTATTTCATTTATAGTTATCGAATAAAATGAGCGGTTTAACAAGGAATTTCACAAAGAGTTCCGAAAAACATTAAAATTTGATAATTGCACTTTATTTCGTTTTGCAATTTTGCCCTGTGTTACATAGTTTTCGCTGTAAGCTTGATTAATATGAGAGAAGAAATTTAATATGAGAGAAGAAATTCTTACGTTAAGATATAACAAATGAAAGCACCTAAATTTGATTTTTTCTTTACAAATTAGTCGTATCCTTAGATGGGACAGGAAAGATGTACCACTACTCTCTATTTAGATTCAGTGTTAAATGTGCTTTTAAACATTATAACTTCCATCCGAACAAGATAAGAAATTTTAAAAACAAACCCTCACTATGATCGTCCCCCTCATCTTCAACTTCTTCAGCAATTGTATCCAAACCACTTAAATCAACATCTTCAATCTTCCCTTCAACTAAATCTAAGGTTCGTTGTTCCGACTCCTAGAATATCACAGATGGTTTTTAAAATGCACGATGCTTCTCAAAAACCAGTCGCATTATGTACTTAATATTGTCTTCCTATGAACATCCTTGTAATGTTGGGAATCCACTATGTTTGAAAGATTCTCCAACCTTTCGTAGGAACTAAAAGACAATGACCACTATTTGGTTTAACTCATGACTGCACCAACTTTCTAAGAATGCTATGTTTAGCTGTATAAGCTGTGCGGTTGCACCTCTGTTAGAAGAAATGTTGTATTGATTGACCCACGGATCTAATTTTCATTCCCATCGTTTATGCCAAAACACATAAATCACCTGAAAAAGAATTGCTGGAACAAGCTGTCGAAGCTCCATCCTTGTTTCATAAAATTGTCGAGTGTCTTCATCCGGCCATATAGTTATGGTTCCTTCTTGTAACGCACGGCTGAGTGCTAGCGCGGAAACCTCTTCCTCTTCATCCTCGCTCTGTATATTACATCCTTTGCGTAGTAAGAATGATAATACCGTAGTACACCATCGAATGAAAAATTTTTTCTTAACTTCAAGCACATATTTTGATCGTTTATAAATTATAATTTAAATAAAGTGGAAATATAAGGACTTAAGAATCAAAATGACCTGCTCTTCTTTCATTGCTTCCATCTCAACACCCAAATATTCACTAAGCTGAGTTCCACTCGCTAAAATCTTTTCATAGCGCGCACGTGTCTCTTCCAGATGATTCCGATCTTCAGCAGAAGCATCTCCTCGTGTTCGTGTCTGACGTTTTATCGAAAGCAGCAACTGATTCATTTCAAGCAAGTCCTACAAAGACCACCATATAATTTATGTCACTTGCTTCGCACATCTCAACTAAATCTAATTTTGATAATTCAAAATAATCTTTGAAAAAGCACATGGATTTTTCTAGAATTTTCCGCATGAATGATTACAGTTAAGCGACACTAAGCATTTCAATCTAATAAGTCAGAAAACAAAGTGAAATGCTTAAGATCACTCCGCATCATTTCTTCTTCTAAAAGGATTTACTTAACCGTACAGGTATGTGACCAGAAATTGAAGATGACTCAAAAACAGATTGTCGAACATAGACATTGGAAAGAATATATTAAATACAAAACTCATACACAAAGCAACAGCCTAAGGGCTAAGAAATGAGAATAGAGTGTTTAAACGGCTTCATTAAATCCACTTGCCTGTTTTATGTGGTCCATCAATGATGACCGATAATCCAGAAGAAGCTGAGCAAACGTTTTTTTGAGATCAGCAGATATTACTGACGTTTCCGGCAACTTAATATTTGCAGTTGACGCTATCTACAAAATGATATCCTTAACAATTCCAATCACTCTGTGGCAATTGAGTAAAACTTAAATTCAGACTCAATTATGAGCAACACCAATATCACCACAATTAACTGCCCAGCAGGAAGAATGGAGAATAGCCTTTTAACAACGACCTCGCTGAAAAAAGGTGCGCATGACAGATGCACCCAACTTATCCTAGTAGCTTCATATTTGAAGTGAAGATGTTGTTATTTCACCATTTTAAGTAGAAGGTTTAGCCAGCAGATAAAACTGACGCAATAGTTTGATTTGCACAGATAACCCCTTTCAAATAATCACAGTGAATCTTATCGCGAAACAACCAGAAATCCCAGCTTATAAACTGTAATTTAATGTGAAATATGTGTTTGGCCTTCCAATACAGTTAATAGCACTAATGAGTACCTGTTCTATTGAATAAGGATGCAAGCCAAGTAAATCAACATTCATGGCTTTACAGAACGGCAGTAAAATTGGAATGTTGACATGTTCCGTTTTGTCAGTGAGTGTGAGGAATGAAATTGCAGAACCTAGAAGCTGAACACCTTCTTTTCCAAAAACGCCGTGAAGACAGAGTTCTCCCAACAATCTGAAATACAATTCATTTACGAACGATGACAAGATATTAATCGGGCAGCAAAAAAATTCAAGAAACGACTAATGAAGGCAACAAACTTAAGCACAGGTATAAGGATAAGAATCCACTGTGATACATTTATCAATAATTATACTTAATGCTGAAAAAAGTGAAACCTGATATCGACGCGCAACTTGGAAGGATTTTGAATTTTGTCACTTCGTTTTGATGGCAACAGTTTGCGGAACTCCAGAAGCAACAGGGAGGAGAATTCTGCATAATAACATGATAAATGCACACAAACTGTTACAACGGCCTGTACCTCGCTATATTTTATTTTCGCTTCGGCAATTGTCATAGCCATTTCCTCCACGAACTTTGATAAATTAACCTGAAAAAACATTTAACGATATTGTTTGTCTTATAAATTCTTGGGATAAAAAAGACTTCAATAAATTAATTGTTGCTACCGTGTAAGTTCTCCAACTACTTCCAACATCCGCGTAGTAAAAAAAAAGGCCCGATGCACTTCCCATATATAAGTCAGTAATGAGTCGTACCATTATTCACTAAGCGCCAAGGCACTTCGAGGAAAACGAGCACAGATACAATTTGACATCAGAGATAAATCAGATGGCTGATAAATCGGGTGCGCAACAAATCTAGTACCATAAATCAGAAAAAATAGATAACCCACTTTATCCATATCTTGCAAAATCGATGCCAATTGTACGCACCCAATATTTTTTAATCTTTTCATAAAAGCTGTCGTTCGCTTCAGCGCACTGTCCATTTTTCGAAGCTGTTCTTCGGACAGTGGTACAGCATTTTCTAACTTTTTCCGATCACCAAGCTGACATTTCATTCTATTCTCCACTTCTTGTACATGGGCTCGTAAACGTTCTTCCATTATATCAGCCATTCTAAATGCATATTTAAAAAAAAAAATAACAGATGATAAGTACCACATATCTTAGTTCCCAATCTATTTTCCATATAGCCACTTCGATCAATAGAGTGACTGAGAAACATATTAATTCCATTCACAATGAGAGATTTTTGAATACATCAGCTCAGCAATACGATTTTTTTTCTTGATTTTGCAGAAAGAACTGTAAAAAGAACGCAAGATGTAAGAAATCTCAGTGGCCTAATAGAGGATTATTAAAACACGCGGATTATTAAAAGAGGTTGAAATATGATTAAACAAAATTTAAAGATGGACCAGACATAACTTAAGCTATTACCTGATTCTCTCAACTTTCCCAGCCTACAATACATAAGACTATTCCAACTCCGACATGCTAAAACGTCTAACGCACGACACAAGACAGACGGTATTCCCAAACAGATCAATCAAGAAGACACCCAATACCCGTCGTCTGCTACAAAACACTGGCCTGAACGTTTCATTCGATTGCAGGCCTGCCGTGCAAATTTCCCGTCTCATGCAATGAACGGTATCTATTTTTGTTCATATAATTTTCTAGCTTTTCAAATTTCTAGCTTGATACTAAGTTTGAACGAGAAGAGAACACCGTTAGCACAAGAGCGAGGCAAGGAATTGGTGAGTAGGGCTCAATTTCATCCAAAACTTAATACTTACGGAAATTTATGACGTCTTTGGATTATCTTCACTCTCACTGTTTCCAAGATGAACCAATTTCGTTTCATAAATTTTCTCATCACCAAAGGTTTTTTCCATACAGTATGATCCGCAGAAATGGATAAATCTAGAGTTTAATTTTTCACTTTATCATATCCATTAGGTTAAAAACACACGCAATATACACGGTTATTCTAGTTTACAGGTCAATTCTCAATATTGACAAGAAAAAAAAATTTTTTTTCAACTCTTTTTTATTGAAATCATCGAAATTGTGAAGCATTCCATCTGCAATATGCAATTAGAAAAATCCATTGATTAAAGGTTTTTTTATGGTTACGAATCGAATTTTATCCACAACTTGTTATTTTAACGTTCAATTATATTTTTTTCTACTCCTTTGCTAATTTTTATTTGATATTAACCTTTGTTGATTTTTACTGGAGAGTGACTATGTACGCAATGAAAAATCACACTTACTAGTGCTATCAACAAGTTTCACGGTCTAATTACTGATGTTCAATTTCTATCTTTAATATTATGCTTCTATTCTTTATTAAGTAATAGCAAGTTATTGCATCCGATAGCTGTTTGGAACATATAACCCATTAGACATTGGCATAATGGAAGTATGTTTGTTGTTTATCGTAAAATGTGAAGCAGATGACATTGATAATACAGTAATGGAATCAAACGATCCAAATCATAGAAAGATAGTTCCGTTGATCAGTTTTACTAAGTTTTACTGATTTAAAGATAACTGAATTGGTAGTCAATAAAATCAGGGTGATTTTATAAGGTCACATCTTTAAAGAAAGAAACGATTTTCTGGATATCAGTGAAACTGAACGTTCGTATTGAATCCCTAAACTCATTTATAGCACTAACAATGTGGTTATTCCTTACATGCAGATACTTCCCAATAACAATCAACAAATATTAATATTAAATAATAACTGGCAAAGGAGCGGAAAGTAATATAAATTTTAGAACATAGAGCATAATGTATATGAAATAAACAGGTAAAGTGCACAATATCTATCACTCATCATTAAATAACAGCTGGCAGAAATATGATATTTCCTGTAACAAAAATATTAATTTAAAGCTAAAAATTGCTTCTTTTATTGGACATTGAAAAATATTATTGAGATATGACACTATGACAATTTTATCTTTTCAGAATTGAATAGCTTTTTACTGAATTTAGTTGGAACGTTTGAAACATCAACATTATATTACTTTTTTTTCTCAAAAACTTACCAATAGTATTTGATATTATTATTGTACTTTTTAAATGAAATTTAGCACTTGAAATCTCAATAAGATGATGGAGAATAGTATGGATACACATGAGTTCATTTTTGGATGTGAAGTATAAAAATTAAGGTTCTTATACAACATTTCTTTCCAGCTTATCTTAAGTGAGACTTTTATTAAATGGCTCTTTTGAAGCAGAAAACTGAGAAATCAATTAAAATCCAAAGTGGGTGTCATTACCATAAGGAAAAGAAAAAGATTTCGCGAACTACGCCATTTACGCTCTATACATGCAAGGTAATAAAGAATTAGCGTTTCTCTAGAATTGATTATTGCTTCTTGGAAAGTGAACTAACGTAACTAACATATGAAGGTCACTGTCACAAAGAAAGTAAAGTGTGATAGCTATTACAAAGAAAGAAAGCAAAATGTGACACTTTGTGACATCCAATTTGTCCATATATATATATATATATATATATATACCTTGCTAGTGCATATATTTTTCTCCGCCCGATAGCTTCAGATCTTCCATGAAGGAAATTTTAAAATTCCATAAGTGATTCTATAAGGTGATTCCGGAATTAATTGCTTCGCATGACGCTAGATAGGACAGTAACCAGAGTATACTCATAATAATCATAGGATCGGAATATCCCATGCTCGGAGTTGTGGGAAAAGGTAATCTATAGTTGTTTTCTTTTGCCCTTTAGGTTAACGAACAATGCGTATAAATCTTGAGACCGATAAATGCATCGGTGAATATTAACAGCAATTTAGTTCTTTTTTTTAAAATATCATGGCCGGCAACATTTTTTTCTGAAAAATATTGATATGCCCATAGTCATCAGTGCCTTCCTTCATTTAAACAAGTATTCTCAGCGGAAATTTTCGAAAGCGCGGTAGGAAGAAGTGATTTGCTACAATAAGATTGTAGTATGAATTCAAAAATGAAGAAACATAACTTCGATATAAAGAAAACAAGGGATAAGAGAAGTGGATCTTGCTATCATAAAAAGAGATCATTCATTGAGTGAGCGAGCATATGTTTCTTGAGAGCTATCTAAAAAAAAAATTTCATGAAATAAAGTGAAAATTGAATTGATTCGGTGAACACTTCTAAAATAAGGAACGGAAATTTGAAATGACTTCCATCGATCAACGATGAGGTGGGGGAAAACAATTTTATTGAAAGATATCCGCGGTATGCATGAGTTCATGAATACACAAGTGACTGAACAGAATAATAGATGCATATTAATGTGATAATAATTGCAAGACAAGCAAAAAAGAATTGTTATATTAAATGTTTTTTTATTACATCTTCATTATGTCAATATTTGTTTAAAATGACTGTCATCTGTTTTATGTTCTATATGGTTGATGTGATGTCATAGTTGTCTAGCATTTCTTTCTTTACGTTTTATCAAAATTTCTGGAGCAATTAATGATTCAATTTAAGTCTTCCAGGTAACGACAAAAGTAAGGAATAAAGTTCTAAATAAATAAGAATAAATTTGACGGATCAGGACTTCTTTTGATGGAACCAAATTAACAAAGTTTGAAAATTGTTTTTAAAAGAGAGACCGCTAGCTTTATAGCGAACAAGCAAGATTGTTGTCAACATCGGTAACAGTTATGTTTGTAATGGAAACATGGGCACTTCTAGAACTATCAACTAGTTTTGCAACCATATAAAACTTTGTATCACTGGGTAGTACTTCCATAAAATCATGCTGCCAGTCCTGTCCTGCACTATCACCTCCAACTTTGAAACAGCTATCTAATTCTCTACTGATACTATCGTGACATACGAATACCGAAGATACATTCGCCTAAAAACAATGTTTTTACGGAAATCTTAGTAAAAATTGGAAATTGCTCTATCCCACTCACTCTTCGTCCTTGTTACATTAGTTTCCTCAGTTTGTATTTTCGTACTAACCAAGTAGTTTGAAAACTTTCTATGAATATAAATATGATTGATTAAATACAACTGAATTTTACTACTTACTGCTTAATGCATTCGTTAAACAAATTTTGAAAAAACTCATTCTTAAGCTTTGAGATACACGCGGAGTGGAACTTACTTCATTGTGATACAAAAAGTGAATTCTCGCAGCGGCATTTAGACGAAAAGTTGGTGACTCGAGTACTGCTACTTTGCCTTTTTTAAATAAAAATGCGGTAACAGCACCATCTCGTGCTTTGAAGTTACTTTGAGATAAAGCAATTCGACCGGAACTGTATAAGCATGTTTGGCCTGAAGTTTTCATAAGCAATTTTGGGTAATTATTTTCAGTAAATAAATCTATTCAATAAACAAAGCGACAAATATTTTCACCTTCCCTGAAGTTACAAGAAAGAAGTCGGCAAACATTTGGATCAGGTATTTGAGCTAATCCAGAACCAAATAAACGCACGCCATGATGGCGTATTACTGATGGGCATATTTCACCCTGAAAAAGATCTGAAAATCTTATTTTATAGCAAATTTTCATTAATGAATTTGGATTCCAAACCTGAATTTGTAAAAGAAATGAAATACACCAGCAAAGAAGCCCCGAAAAATGGTAATTTAAATCCTCTTTTTTCGATTTTTTCTTTAGACAATCTTTTTTTTGGATTTCTAAGATCTCTTTTAATACAAAAATTACTAATTATTTTCAGCAAACTACCAAAATGAAACCGTCCACTGCTACATTTCTTACCGTGACTACTACATCATCAATCAGCGCCATTCCTTGAGAAGATGATTCAGCTTTTAAAGCAATTCGAACCGGATGATTTATTTCCGGTAAATCAACTAACGCAGGCCCCGGCTGTTTTAGAACTATTTTTTGGCAGTCAACCGCTTCCGAAACCTTATCTTCAAGCAGACAAACATCTAGACGTGTGTCACCGCTAAGCCAGAATCTGAAATGTTTTTCATGAAAACGGATCGTCTGTAAAGTAAAAGTACCGCGAATGAATTTCTATTCACATAGAAAAATTGAAGACTGAAGATCTAAATTCAGCTCTAATTAGAGTTCCATGGCAATTTAATATGTTGGATA